AAGACACAGAGATAAAGAAAAATAGTGTCTCTGTTCCCAATAAAAGAAAGGGATGAAATTTAATAATGCAAAATCATTCTTTTACAAACATGTTATTTTCTTCTAAACTGGTGATTTACCAGTTGGAAGCAGGAGAGGAAGCAAAAGACTTGAGTGGTTTTGGTCAGTCACCACCAATGTGATGCAGCCATGAAAGACTATTGAAATCCTAGGATCTATCAGGCAAGGAATTTCCAGTAAAGAACAGGAAGTGTTATGACCATTAAGGTGCTGGTGAGACCTCATCAGGAATACTGTGTGCTATTCTGGTCTCCTATGTTTAAGGAAGAAACTGGAACAGGTATGGAGAGGGTCTATTACAGGGGTGGGCAATAGTATGGAGCTAGTTTGCCACGGTTAGACCCTGGTGGGTCGCCGACACTACATTTATCTGTACGGCCACAGATACTGGTGATCATTGAGCGTGGATCACTGGTCAATGAGAGTGATGGGAAGCGGTGTGGATTAGGACACAATTTAGTCTATTTGGAAATGTATATTGAGTATCTCATTTGTCTAGTATGTTTTAAGTATTTTAAAGCTATTATGCTTGTATTTTGGTATCTGTAGCTTTTGTATTTAGGAGTAGGGGACATTTCTTTGAAGGAATACAGAGCTGTAATGGAGTATCAAGTTTTGTATATGCATGTAAAATACATACCAAACTGAAGCAAAATTATTTATCCCACAGACAATTTTTGTTTTCAGAAAAAGTGCCTTTCAGTCTGCATAACCTATTTTGCTGTCTTGCTACAGTAACTGGTAATGGTTGTTTGAAAGCAAAGAGTTTGCAGAAATTGTTGCACAGAAATGGCTGGTTGGAAAAATACAGCAGGAAATTGGGCATGTCTGCCTGGTGGGTTCATTCTAATATTTCTGCTGTCACTTCTTTGCCATGTAACCTAATTATTAAGTGGATCATATGACCAATGAAAGCGGAGGGGGGGAAAATCACCTGCCTTGTGACACTAGTTAATATGTAATACATTACACAAAATAGGTAAAATTTTCAGAAGTACTTAAGCCTAAGTACCATTCCAAATCTAAGTACCATTTCAAAAG